AAAGGATTTTAAAAATTGCCTGAAATAACACAGCTTGGTAGAGACATACTTAACCCATCCACCTGCTTAGCTCTTAAGTCTATCTTCCCTTGCCATTACAGCCTTACCATCATGGGCAGGTGGGTGTTGATTTCTCTGCTATGTGCCACAACGAAACTGGGTGTGACATCCTTAATCTTTGGCAGGCAGGGAATCTCCCTGTGATGGACACCATCCCTTTGCCTCTCTGTAATCCTAGCAGTTGGAAGGTAGAGTCAGGAGGATCAGGAGTTCTAGAGCATTCTCAGCAAATTTAAGGCTAACACACACACACACACACACACACACACACACACACATTTCCCTATTGGTTTGACCACATCTACAGCATTTATCAAGATAATCAAAATAAATGGTATTTACTACTGCTCAATAAAAATATGTTTGCTTATAATTTTGCAATAGTCTCATAATTTGTTTTTTGTTTTGTTTTGGAGACAGGGTTCCTCTGTGTAACAGCTCTGGCTGGCCTCGAAACTCACAGCGATCGCCTGCCTCTGCCTCCTGAGTGCTGGTATTAAAAGCATATGCCACCACACCCAGCTTTCTGCAAGATAATTTAATGGGATCCTCTGCAAAGAGGAAAACCCAGGCAAGGATATGTTGATTTGTCCATCCCACTCATCACCACCTGAGTGGACATCTCTCCAGATTCACAGTTCAATGTGGAGGTTCAAAACATAACATTCTCTTCAAAATTAGACAGAGCCTGGTCCAAATCCCAGCCCCACCACTTACTAGCCAATGACTCCTTTTCTGTTTCAAGCCTCATGTCTTACAAAGCCTTTTTAGACTTTATTGCACCAATGCTTGTTCAGTAAACATCCTTGAACAATAGAGATAGTGGCTCCCCCTAGGTCAGAGGGAGAACTTCTTTGCCAGTCACGATAACTAAACAATGCCCTCCTTGGGACAAAGCAAGACTATGTTTGCTATTAGCTCCTGTGTTAGTTACTCTTCACATTGCTACGGCTTAATATCTGATATGAGCAAGTTGAGAGAAAACATTTATTTTGATTCCTGGTTTAAAATGGGTACAGTCCATCCTGACGAGAAGGCATAGAGACAGGTGACATGTGTCCATAGTCAGGACATAGAGGTATGACTGCTGGTGCTTAGTTCACATTGCCTTTTCTGTCCTTTTTTGAGACAACAAGGTCTTTGTAATTCAGCACAAGTTAGCCTCCAAGGCATTATGTAGCTAAGGATAACCTTGAATTTTCTGATCTGCCTCCACCTCCTGAGCCCTAGGATTATAGACATGTACTACCATGCAGGTCTTTATATGGTATTAGAGATCAAACCTAGGTCTTTGCGCATGCCGGGCAAGCACTGTACCAACAGAACTACAGCCCCACCTCCCATTACCTTCTCTCATTCAGTCCAGGACCCCAGATCATGGGATGATGCTCCCACATTCAGACTGGGTCTTCCTCCCGAAGCTAACCCTCTCTGAAAATGCCCTTACAGACACACCTAGAGGTATATCTATAGGTGATTCAAGTCCAATCAAACTGATAATGAAGACTTAGCATCACAGCTCCATTTAAAATATTAGAGTGGCCCACCTGTAATATATGCCCCTTTGGTGTGCACTATCTACTTGGTCCCACTCTCCGACCAAGAAAATGAACCTCATGTTGTTTCTGTACGTGAGTAACAAAGTCCTCTGTTTCTGGCCCAGCAGTATCAGGTCTTCTGGCAGCATCTGTACCTTGGAGGTTAACTTGCTAGCTTAGGATAAAGTTCAAACCTTACTGTTCTTAACATCATCACCTAAGTCAAAAGAACCACCTCCAGCTTCCTCTGTGCGTTGCCATCTGCTCCTAGTATGGCACATTGGTTTGTTTTTTGTTTTTTGTTTTTTTTACCTTTTGGGTTTTTTGTTTGTGTTTGCCAATGTCACCCAAGGCTGGTAACCATTAGTTTCTTTGGATGTTTGATTCCAGAAGAAAACAATTTGGACCTCTGTAGCCCTTAGCTGGGTGCACGTTCTTCTGAGTGTTCTGCTCACACAGCACACTCTCCTGTTCCTTATTGGTCTCGTCTATAATACGTCTCCTTTTCCTTTGAAGTCCCATCCACGACTCCCTCTTATCAACCCATCTTTCCTCCCTGGGTGATCTCACCCATACTATTGGTTTTAAGAACTGTCTTAGGGTTGCTGTTGCTTGATAGAATACCATGACCAAAGCAACTTGGGGAGGAAAGATTTTGTTTCTGCTTACAGTTATGCATCACAGTTTCACCACCAGGAGCTCAAGGCAAGGACCTGCAGACTGGAACAGATACAGAGGCCATGGAGGAGTGCTCCTTACTGGTTTGCTCCCCCAGACTTACTCAGCCTGCTTCCTTATACAGCCCAGGATCACCTGCCTGGAGGTGAAATCTCCCACCATGGATTACTCCCATGGGATTACTCCCATGGAAATCTCCCCCATCAATTACTAATTAAGAAAATGAAACACAGTTTTGCCTACAGAGCAGTCTGGGGATGCATCTTTCCAGTTGAGGTTACCTCTTCTTAAATGACTCTAGCTTGTGTCAGCACAGGAACCTTATACATAGGTGAGGACATCCTCAATCTAGCTCCAGTCCAGACCTCTAATATGACTTACCCAGCCACCTGTTGAGCAGCCCTGCTCTATATTTAACTGGTGGAGGGGCGATAATTGCGCAACACTGGCATCCTGCAGTGGGTAGTCCTCCCCCTGGATCCAACGACTTTCTGTGACACACACAGCATCTCACTATTCCAGACGGCCATCCTTGAACCTTCACTTTTCTTCAAACCCTAGAGTTCAGATAGCGACTGTTGCTCCTTTCATTCGATTTACAGACCCCCCCTCTTTTCCTACCCCCCTCCATTTCTGGTTCCAGCATTCCCTGTGATGGGTTACTGCAGTGACCCCTAGCTGGGCTTTCTTAGTCTTTTTGGCCTTACCCTGCTGTTGCTAGAGTTATGTTCCTAAAATGTAAAATATATCTATGTTGTTTCCTTGCTCAAACCTTCACTTTCTCCTCACAGCTTCCCTGCTGGAGTCTTAAACAGCATAGTTCACCACACTCTCTCATGCTACATCTCACCCACCTCCTCTCCTTGGAGGATTCCAGTATGGAATCTCTTTGGCTACTACCACTCAAAAGGAAGAGGTGGGATGAGGTGTCAGCCAACAGCACTTATTAAATGGTACTAACTTGTTTTGTCATGTGAAACTAGCAATTCAGAAGTTGCAGTCACTGGTCACTTACACTCTGCCTGACTCAAACCCATGTCTGTGTTTGTTGTGTCTGTTTTTTTTATTTTGATTAGCATACTAAGTAGTGACATCTTCGTACATAATGTGTTATTACACTTCGCTCTTATTCCTTCTCCTACCTTAGTTTTCCTTAAATAATAAACTCACAATTTGGATCACGTGCTCTATTTCTTCTTTTTAAAAACTTTTATTAATTATGCATAGTGTCCTTTCTGCCTGCAGGATGAAAGAAGGCACCTGTTCTCATTACAGATGGTTGTGAGCCACCATGTGGTTGCTGGGAACTGGCTGGAAGAACAGCCAGTGCTCTTAACCTCTGAGCCATCTCTGCAGCCCCAAGTTCTCTATTTCTACCCAATCATTTGTCTTGACACTTGTTTGTGCCTCAGGGTCCCTTTAAGAAATATTCCATTTTACCCACTTCATTCCCCCCACCTAAGGGGTCCAAAGATTAGGTGTCTAGTGATATTGTTATATCCAAACCTCTCTGCATATGTGTATTATGGGTGTATGCATAATGTTTATATGCATACATATGTTGTTATTCATACGTATGTAGTTCCTGTGTTTTTAATAGCTTTGCCGTCCTCTAAGCAAACAAACGAACACCCTTAAGTGGCCACCAGGAGGCGCCAAGGACAGCGAAAGACCTGCGGTACCTTGGCGGTAGAGGTGGAGATGGATGCAGCGGCAAGGGAACCCAGCTTCCTTTTTTAAGAATCAGTGTGAGCAAGGGAACAGAGCCACGTTATTTTAGGGAGACTTTGTCGCATTCCCCCTCCCCCGGTCTGGGATGTGTGCACCCTGTTCATAGTCCCTCATGGAGAGACGAGGGCTGCTGCAGCCGGCAGTAACCCGACCCCGCCGGCGAAGGGACTGAAGAGGCGGCGCGGAGAGCTGCTAGAGGTGAACAAAAGCCCTCGGCGTGGGGGCCGGAGCCCAGAGCCCGGTCCTGGGGTAAGTAAATCCTCCCGGGGACCTAGCATGGAGCGGAAGGGTCTACAGCGCTAAGAGCCCACTTCCCTGAGATGTGGGGAAGGAACTGTGTCTGGGGCTGGTGTCAGAGTCCACCATACTGGGGTTGATGCTTTAGCTGCACATTCATTCAGCCTTGAAGATCGGGTGCATCTGGCTGGATCCAGGTGCTTTGTGCATCCCGGACAAACATTGGGTGGGGGCTGGTGGAAGAAGCAGGCAGAGCTCCCAGCAAGCCCTGCCGGAGAGGCAGGGAAAAGAATCCATCACTCCACTCAGAGAGGAGCCTTTGGAGACTTCTCTCAGCCTTTCCATCTCCCAGGGGCCCTGCGCCCCGGGTCCTTTTGGCAGAGAGAAATCAACCATAAACTTCTCCCTACGTAACTGGGGCCCTCGCTGCAATGCACTTTGGCATGAACGGGCCTCTTCCCCTTTTGTGTTCCTGCAAAGCTGCATCCCAGCAGCCCGCCTAAGCTAACAAACAAATAGCTAATCCTCCCGGGAATCCTCCAGCGCCTCCCTCGATGGCTGCTGCCTTGCGCCTCAATCTTAGCAGGAAGGGGATACTTCTAGCCGGTCTGATGCCAATGTCGTCTCCCCACAGGCCCTGCATCCTGGGAAAAAGGGAGACTGAGGCTACTGACTGAGCCCCAGAGTCCCCCGCCCCCACCCCAACTGCTCAACCTGGGTTTTCAGGGCATGGGTTTTAGGATTTACATTCCATCAGGCCCCCGAGCCTAGTCTGAAATCGGATTAAGTTGGGAGGGGTAAATATGATTGAGGAGGGACAAACAGCTCACGGATGCATTCCTCTATGCCCACCCCCTCCCTTCATCTCAGGGACTCCGACAAAGGACGAGACTCAGCTATGGTGGACCCGGTACCAGAAGAAGAGAAAGAGGGAGCGGAGCCCGGTGGCTCAGAAGGGGATGGGGCCACAGCGTCCGTGCCCCCAGATGCCCAGGGAGCCCAACAGCCTGCTGCCTCCTCGACCTCCGCCTCGGGGGCGGCTCCACGCAAGGCCGAAGTCCCCTGCGGAGCAGAAGGTGGGCGTCGCGAGCAGTCCCCACTGCTGCACCTCGATCTCTTCAACTTCACCTGCCCGGAGGCAGAGGGCAGCCGCTATGTCCTGACCAGTCCCCGCTCGCTGGAGGCCTGTGCTCGCTGTGCCGTCAAGCCCGTGGAACTGCTGCCTCGGGCCCTGGCCGACCTGGTGCGCGAGGCTCCCGGCCGCTCCATGCGAGTGGCCACTGGCCTGTATGAGGCCTACGAGGCGGAGCGGCTCGCCAAATTACAGCAGTGCCGTGCAGAGCGCGAACGCATTATGCGCGAGGAGAAGCGACGCCTGTTCACGCCCAAGGGCCCGGCGGCAGCAGCCCCGGCCTCCGCCTCTGCCTCGGTGCCGAGCACGGGCAGCAGCAGCAGCTGCAGCAGCAGCAGCCTCCCGGCCTCGCCCGCCTCGCGGGTTGCTCGAAGGACTTCTCCCAGTCCCCCTGCCAGGACCCGACCTCCTCCCACCGGTTCTCGGACAGGGAGGAAGAGCCACTCGCTCGACTCGCTGTCCCGCCGGCGGGACGGCGCCCTCAGCTCCGAGTCCGGCGCCTCGTCATCGTCCTACAGCGGAGAGAGCCTTCGGGAGCTTCGCTGGCCACCTCGAGCTTCAGCCAGGAACAGTTGCCCTGCGGGGTCCGCGTCGTCTGCACCCAACCCACTGGGCCGTCCTTCTGCCCTCGATCTGGTCCCACTCACAGCCCGCAGCTTCAGCCTGGGCGACCTGAGCCACTCGCCGCAGACCGCTCAGCATGTGGAGCGCATCGTGCGCCAAGTGCGAGCTGAGCGAGGCCTGCGCGGGGTCCCCGAGCGCGACCGCAAGATCGCGGCTCTCATGCTGGCCAGACACCAGGAGGAGCGCCTGTTGCTGGAGCAACGCGCCGCCGCCCACGGCCAGTGGGAGCAACAGCGCATGCGCGCCGAGCAGAGGCGGGAGCGCGAGGGACGCGAGAAGCAGCGCGCGCTGGAGCAGGGCAGGCGCGCCTGGGCCGCGCAGGTGGAGGAGCGCCGGGGCCGCCGGGGCCGGGAGGAACGGGAGGCCGCGCGGAGGCGGCAGCAGCAGTGTGAGCGCAGCGAGGAGCGGCGGCGGGAGCTGGCGGAGCGCCAGGGCCTGCTGCGGCGGGAGAAGGCGGAACGCGCGGCGCGCGACGACCGCCTGCGCAAGCTGCAGCAGGAGCAGAACCTGAAGCAGCGGGAGGAGGGCCTGCAGGAAGGGCGGGAGCGCGCCGAGCTGGTCCGCCGGGAGCGCGCCCAGCGCGCGGCGCGGGCCAAGCAACGACAAGAGGGTCAGCTGCAACGGGAGAAGCGGGAGCTGAGCCGGGCCGAGCGGGCGCGCCACGAGGCGCTGCTTCGAGGCCGAGCCCGGCAGCAGCACGAGGAGCGGGAGGGCCTGAGGAGCTCCCTGGAGGCTAGCTTGGGCCGCGCGCAGGAGAACTACGAGCAGCTGCAGGAGCAGCGTGCCCGGGAGCTTAGGGAGCGAGCCCGGAAGGAGGAGCTGCAGGGTCGGCGGGCTAAGGAAGCGGCCGAACGCAAAGAGCGGGAGCATCGGGCGCACTTGGAGGCGCTGGCGCGGGCCGGGGAACGGCGGCTGCAGCACGCGGCGCAGGTGGCGGAAGAGGCGGTGCAGCAGAAAGCCCGGCGCGTGGTTCAGACTCGCCTGGAGAAGGAGAGGACTCAGCGTGCCAACAAGGAGAAGGTGGAGCGAGATGAAGACTGCCGCCGCCGGGAGCTGCTGCAGGCCATTGGCCGCAAGCTGGAGCGCAGCGAGCAGCTGTCTCGAGAACGGCGAAGTGCGCTGGAGAGCGCTCGCTCCACAGCCCGGGCCTCCTTCCACGTGCGGGAGAAGGTGCGGGAGGAGACCAACACGCGCTCTTTTGACCGCATGGTGCGGGAGGCCCAGCTACATGCCAGCCTGGACCGCAAATGACAGCTGTCCTGTGCAGGCCATACTGCTTTGTATAGCCAGGTGGGGCCTCCCTTAGCCACTTGGACTAAACTCCAGGCATCTCTCTCCAGTCCAGGTGCCACACCATGACCCCCCCCCCCAAGACTAAGGAACGATGAGACAGTGAGAAGCCAGACGGTGTACTTTTCCGTCTGCCACCATTGCTTTATAGACTTACTTTGTTTGCAAAGGACATGGCACAATTTACCCACATCCACCTGTGTCTTTGGGTTGGAATAGAAAGTACCTGGGGAGGGGAAGGGTCTCCCTAGGAGAGAGCACAGAGGTGAATGTGGGGTTTTCTGTCACAGCTGCCTTGGGCATCTTTCGGACATTTGTGTCCAAAACGGCTTTCAATTGCAGCAAGCAGCCCAGGGGACATCACCAAGACTCACCACTATCTTCCAAAATACAAGTTGCACAGAACTTAGTCTCCCAAGAAAGCACAGCTCTTCGAAGATGTTAGTTCATGCACAAGGGACCACAAAAGCTATTAGTTTTGAGCGCCGGACTATTAATCGGACACCTGAACAAATTGTCCCGTTCCCATCATTTTTTTTCAATTGAGTCCCTAGGCTTTCTAGTTAGACAATCATCTGCAGATAATCACTTATTCTCCCACGTGGCACAGGGAAATGGGTTGGTTTGGTGATGCCGTTTAGCTTTAATGGAAGCCCTCGGTCCCCCACCACCCCGGAGGTGGTGGTTTCCTTAGGCAGCAGTGTTCTACCCCGGAGGATTTCAATGGAGGCAGTGTCTGATGGCCACTTCCCTGTGTGGGGCCGGCTCCCGCAGATACAAGCTATTGCCTTATGAAGCAGAGCTACCTTCTGTGCCTGCCCAGGCCGCTCTTGCCTAAAGCCCCAGCCTTGAATGAAGTCTCAAGGGTGAAACCCTGAAGAGTCTGGAATGTGTAGGATTCCCTCTGTGAAAGAGTCAGTTCAGTGCCCTGAGGACAATTTAGGATGCTTGGCTGCTTAGCTGTGGTGGCTGAAGGGCTAGAACTGCCTCTGCATTGAGTTGTGTTATCGTTGGTAGGGTATCCCTCTCCCCTAGGAGAAAGAGTCTTCCCTCTTTACATTCCCAGTACCCTCTCACTTATACCTGAAGTATTTAATCAGTCTCTTGGTGCCTCACCTTTCCCATCTGCCAGATGGGGCCATCAGAGCTCTTCTGGTACCTCAAGGTCTCCTGGATCCAAAGCACCACTTCAGTGTGATTTGTCTGTCTCCTTTGTGCCTTTCTTGACCTGGAGTTGGGAGGCAGGAGGACTGCCATTAGCCTAGTTCGTTTCTGCTAATATGGATTCCTGGGCAGTTCATCACAGAGAGATGGTCATTTAGTGTCTGAGTGTGTGTGTGTGTGTGTGTGTGTGTGTGGCAGGGGGTACTTGTAATACCAAGCTGTTTCCTGGTCAGAAGGTTCAGTTATCACTGGGCAGATTTAACCCATAGAGTGCTCCTTCCACAAAGCTGAAACTGACCCCACCCTTATCCACCATCAGCTTCGTCTTCACCGAGGAGAGTGGGAAGTCAACCATCCCTTTTTACATTAAATCAAGGTCAGGAAGTTAAAAAACTTACCAAAAAAGACAGGAATCAGGGTAGAGATGTACTGCATTAGATGTGTTGTGTGTATATTCTGCTGGCAGAATCGTCCCTAAAATGACTGGGTATTGCCCACACTCTCACATGCTAAGAGTAGTCTTGTGTAGAAGAAAGCTGTGTGTTGGGTATCACATGTGAGAAGATGTAAAACCAGGAGAGGAGCTATGTACCAAGGCTTATTTCTTGAATGGGTGGTTCCCCCTCAAATTCCCTTCTTGTCGGTGAGCTGTAATAACTGGTGTTGTCTCTGAAACAGGAGTGTTAACCTGAAAAGTTGATGTGATTATGGTTCTTTGAGCTTGTGTGGTTCCTGAGTTGCTTCTGAACCCTTCATAGAATGTTCTAGCCTCAAAACTGCTTTCTTCACACTGTGAGCATTTGTTTTAGGAGGCAATCTGTTGTGAGCCTAGCAGTGGGAGGCACATAGACGATCATACTGGCCTTTTACCCAGATGGCTTCCAACCTTACTGGGTCACTTTGGGTAGCTCACCTTTCTGGACCTTAACTTAGCTCCTACACATGTACAGTGGGGATCGTGGTTCCTGACCTCTGGTTTGTGCAAGCCGAGGATGGCAGTGGCACGTGATTCCCATTTCTGTCACTCTGAAACTCCAGGGTGATGTGACTTTTATGGCTGGGGAGTGTAATGTACCATCATGATTTGGTGCAGAAGGAGAAGTCTTAAGAAGCACATTGCAGATACGGTGTCACAAGTGCAAAGGCCCAGGCCTGAATGTCACCAAATTAGACACTGAGAGAACCACAATGTAAAAATACAAACATTTTAGATTTTTGCCAAAAAGTCATTTGGCCGAGTATAGTTAAAAACAAAACTCAACTGGTGGCAGTAAAAAAATTGTTCCTTCGAGTTCCAGACCATCTACTAGAATACAGTACTGCAATTGGACGTGGTGGATGGATCACATCTATAGTCCTAGCACTGAGGAAGCTGACAGAGAAGGTTAATTAAATTGAGTCAGTGAATCACTGCCATCTGTATATTTTAAAGAAATATTCATGTTTCCCCCTAAAGATGATTAATGTCCAAAGTCTTTCACGGGCCCCTAATTTAAGTTTCCAGAGAGGAAAGATTTTATTTTACTCTGAAATGCAGCAAGGGGACATTATGGGAGAGCAAGGACATTGTGGGTGGAGAGTTGTCCCTAAACAGTGTTCTAATAGTCTTCCAGAATTTAAATTTCTTACCACCCAGGAGATCGTAACCTTTAAGTGGCCACAGCCTCACATTTACTCTTGGGAACATCTGAGTAAAGATGTTCAAAGGAGGAAAAAAATGTGAAATAATATGAGAGGGGAAGGGAAGGGTTGGAAGAGGTTTAATCAGGTTGAATACCAAGGAAACAAGCCCAAATCATTTCAGAAGAAATCACTGTTGAAGCTAGTCTAATGTTCTGCTGTGGCAGGGACCAGCGTCTACACCCATCTGGACAGGAAAATGGAAATTTTCTTTTGGAAGCACACAGACTAGATTTTCAATGGAGTGGTAACCAGGATTTCCCAAAGGCAAAGGGTCTGCAGGGTAGTGGAGCTAGAAGGATGTGTTGGTCTGTTTTGTGTTGCTCTAACTTAATACCCAAGGCTAAGTCAAAAATAAAAGAGGTTTGTTGCTAATACTTTTGGGGGGCCACAGCATGTTACCAGCATCTACTTGCCTTCTGATGAGGACATCATGGGGGCAGCACATTTCAGAGGCACCCGAGGAGGGTCTCACACGTAAGACAGGAAGCAAGAGACCAAGGAGAAACCAGACACACTTAGATGTCAACCCACCTTTTAAGGAATTCAGCCATTCCCACAAGACCCAGCCCATTCTGCAAGACCAGCATTCATCCCTTCAGAGGGTGGAATCCCTAAACTTCCATTAGACCCTACCTCTTAAAGATCCCACCATCTCAATACTATCACTACGGGAACCAGGGCTCCAGTACATGAACTGTCTTATAGGGGCAAACTGTACAAGCTATAACAATGGCAATATAGTCTGTAGTATGGATATTATATTATCTGTTGGCCTCTCTCCATTACACAGTCTGTTGAGGTGGATGAGACCACATAAGGGGCTGCATCTTATCTAGCACCAAATCCCCTGTAGCCCATGGTATAGAACCTCATTTAGGATAAGTACCTAAATACTAGATGGAGAGGAGGTTGGTGATCAGAGGAAAATCTGTGTAGAACAGATTGTGTATACAGACAGACCTCCATTCAGTCAAATCTTCATTAAGCACCCACTCCATGACAAACACTACCCTTTTCTGTTTGTTTGTTTTGAGACAAGGTTTCTCTCTGTGTAGCCCTGGCTGTCATGGAACTCAATCTGTAGACCAGGCTGGCCTCAAACTCAGGGATCTACTTGTCTCTGCTGAGTGCTGGGATTAAAGGTAGATGCCAGCACCACCAGTTCCAAATACTACTCAATGTTGTTAAAATTGACTCTCTCGGGTTTCTGACTTTAGGGATATTTCATGCTACAATGTCATGAACTTGTCTCTGCTTCCTGGTTGTGCTCACCTACATTTCCAACGGGATATATACATTCTCAGGTAGACCTAATTGTCCCTGGAGGCACTACCTTCAAGCCTTTTTGGTATCCTAGAGACAAACTATCTGCCAACCACCACCATCCAGACACTGTTGCTCTTTCTCCTTCACAAAAGGCTTGGTTAACTGGGTGGAATTTACAATGCCATGCACTTTAAATTATAAATCAAGGGAGAGAGAAAGACCAAAAATACCACCTTCCAGGGTGTTATATGTCATTTTAGAAAGGCACAAAAAAATCATTGTGGACCTAGACGTCCAAGCCCCAGGCCATACAGAGTCCCAGTTCACCAAATGGGGCACCTGCTCCATCACTCAGCTGTTCCCGCTAAGACAAGAAGGTTAACATTTCGAAAATATTTCCCACTTAAAATTTCCCCAATGAGGTCTCCAGTTAAGACTAAACTGATGAGAAAGTTAACTAAGCAAGAATATCCCAATCACAGAAATCTAATTAAGAACATCTAGCTAACTGACATCACCTTGCCTTTTCTCGGTTGTATAACAACAGAGCTCTGTCTTAATGTCTTAGAGGAGCTTGGCAGAGCAGAAGGAAACAGGTGTTTTAAAATTGTTTTTTGTTTTTGAGACAAAGTCTGTACATAGCCCAGGCTAGTCTCAGTCTTGCAGTCCTCCTGGCCAAGCCACCCAAAGTTTCAGGACGGCAGGCATGCATCATCATTGTCCAGTAATACTTGGCATCACTTGACACAGCTTGAAAAGGGGCTCTTAGGGATCCAGCAGCAGGCATCTGTAGATTCTACAACTGCTAAGTATTCTATGTGGTGCCTGACTTTGCACATTTGGAGTAGTGCCGCAGAATTACAATTGGTCATATGCTTTGGTTTATGTGTCCCTACAGAAGGGCACCTCACTGACTCACAACAT